CAATCAAATCAATTGACACATCATTTTCAGAGCACGTAATTGTTTTCACATCACAAGGTGCATTCCAGATCGCCCAAATCGAAACGTCACGGCAAATGAAGTCATACCAGAATATGTGCTCTAATCTTATTCCCATTTTTGGCTCTTTCTATATTACGTGTGATTATATTGCATTTATTGGTTTTTTTTAACCTTTTGATAATCATACTTTTTTCTAATGAATATGCATACTGTTAAATTTAAATGTCATATTCTAAATAATAATATAAAAATTATGTATTATATAATAATTTGTGTTTAACGGATATAATGTTTACTACAATAATTTGTGTTAAAATTATGTTATGTGTGAAACAATGCAATATATGTATTATAACAAATGGAGATGATGAATTTGACAAACGAAAAAAACTGAAAGATTTCCCTCATCATTGGTAGAGTAAAAGATGAGGAAATTAAGAAAAATAAACTAGGTGAAGCTCAATTTGTAGCTGTCACAAACATATTTTAATTGCTTCTAAGTCTTTTTTGATTCGATTAGAATCTTCAAAAGAGGAATAATAGGTTGCGAAAAATGCGAATATGCTTTTAATTTGACTCTCATGTCCAAATAACATGTTCTATTTTCTTAGTCTTAACAACTTGCTAGCCAATTTGTCTTTTATATTTTTTTAATCCGATTATGTGATCTTATTCATCTGATTCACGGAACTAGATATATGTGGAATCAGGCACTAGTGAGTTAAAGATATTAATATATAAAAATTTAAAATAAAAACATCTCTATTTATTTAAAAATAATAATTTTATGCATATACTTTTTAATTCAAAGTATTATAAATGTTGCACTGGAATTTTTTAATGCTATTCTTTTTTAATTCAAAGTATTTTGTCAATGCTATTATTTTCGTTGGAATTTTTTAATAGATTCCAACGGAAATTCCAACAAAAATATTCCGTTAGAATGAGTTTTCTATTGGAATTTCCGATGAATTTTGATGATTCCAACGATAGATTTTTCAACGGTGGTGGAAATTAAAATTCGAACGGATATTTCTACAGTAAAAAACCATTGGAATCATGAAATTCCATATAAAATCCCAATGAAAAACACATTCTAACAGAATATTTTTGTTGGAATCATTACAACAAAAGCTATACCATTGAATATCCGTTGGAATTTTAATTTGAATATATTAACATAAAAATTTTCGTTGGAATATAACAATTTTTTTTGCCGGAAAAAAAAAATTAAAATTATAACATTGGAAAATATGTTGAGGGTTTAATATCCTTTGGTATTTCCTTATTTCATGAGCAAGCAAGTTATTTTTTATTTTTCTTTAAACAAAAATCTTCATGCTGATAGAAGTATATATTTTGATCACCCTTATATATGTTTATTATCAAAGCAACTCAAGTATTATGGGCTTCTTTTCGTATTTTGGAACTTATATAATTTTTTTTTATGTGCTTTTGTGGAGGTTAGCAAATACTAAATAGTAATCAATCCAATATCAATTTTGTTGGTATAGGTCTCGTCTAACTATTTATCATACTTTAATTTCTTCAATACTCAATTATCAACAAAATATTTTTTCTATTCTCCTATTTAATTAATTGGAGCAACTTATTTTAGATGCAATTTTTTAACAATCTTTTATTTCTTGAAATGGGAATCTTCTGAATTATTACAAATTAATCTGGTTGACCTCGATTGAACCTCATAGACTAGCTGAGAAATGATCATCAATACTATTTGAGTCTCTTAATTTAGATTATGACCTAATCAACTGCCTAATCTCGTGAATCGTGTGAGTACACTTATGTAAGTTGGCTCATTTTTTAAAATAAAATCCAAGATCCTTCTAAATAAAATAATTGAAGACTTAAAAGAAAAATGTTGATATAGTGTGCTAACATCATACAACGATCCTAATTAAAAATGATTCATAAGAATCAATTATTAAACCAAAGTTTGGCTTTCATATAGTTGCGTTTCAATTTGATAAGAGAAAAGTACAAAGACTGGACATATTATCGTGCACGTATTTTATATTGAACAATTTTGATATGTCTTGAAATGTGAGGGTTATTGGACAGAAAAATAAGTATATAAACGAATATCGATCGGATTAAAATTATATATAGGTACAATTGAATATAATTAGGCTGAAATGAGAATAATCCAAACTATTTTGGGCATAAAATTAAGTAAGCCAAATGAACTCGGATGGGACTAAAAGTTTGCGAATACAACCAACTTGATAAGAAGAATATGAAAACGAGACAATCGACTGAAACAAACACATGATGGCATCGAAATCAGGTTATAGAATACGTTGAATTTTATCTATCCAATTATAATTAGTGTAACTTTTTCTAATGTTTTCGCCAAATTGGTGTATTTAAATTTATATATGTGCGCCATATCAATGTACGTACCATTTAGGACAGGTAACAATTTGGCGTACAAAAAATGAAATTTTAATTTACCATAAATTTACGCCTCATATAACTAAGCATATTTGACAATTTTGTCTCAACACTATAAAGAGTTGGCGTACCAAAAATGAAATTTTAATTTACCATAAATTTACGCCTCATATAACTAAGCATATTTGACAATTTTGTCTCAACACTATAAAGAATTAATTATGCATTCCATTTTGAATTGAAGTGGCCAGTCATCTTCCACACTATAAAGAAG